TATATTATTATTATTATTATTATTATTATTATTATTATTATTATTATTATTATTATTATTATTATTACTATTATTATTATTATTACTATTATTATTATTATTACTATTATTATTATTATTACTATTATTATTATTATTACTATTATTATTATTATTACTATTGTTATTATCAGTCATTATTACCACAGCATTATTACCATTATAAGCTGAAAAAAATCCGAAGAAACTTAAAATTAACCGTAATTAGGAGGGAATGTGCGAGGAATGATTCTTTTAGCAAGTTATATGAAAATAATCGATAGTAATTTTTCGTATAAAGTTGACAAGTTTACTTTAAGTGTTAATTTTTAAATTCGTTCCATTTAAATTCACTGAATCTATTTTAGGTTTCATTTTTCTGTTGTTAATCTTTCTCTGCTTAATGTCTTCTTTATCGAGATCATTATAAACTATTTCTCGTAATTTATCATCTCATTAACCACATATACACCACGTATATTTACGTGTGTTATTATACAATATTTATCCACTCGTTTCCCTAATTTCATTCATTTACTCCTATCATTTCCGTAACAACACAATACCTTAAATTACAAATGTAAACGTTGTGATTGATGAAATTAGCACTAAATAAAACAGCGAAGTAAAAAAGAATACCATTAACAACAAACAAAAGAAGTATTGGCGGAAATTAAATATAATTATTGCATAGCGTACAAATAACCTAACATTATTGGAAATGGTTTAAGTCAATTTAATTACGCAAGTTTAACTTTCAGGTATAAGTTAAACACTAAGTTACAGTAATATTGATCAAGAGATATTGATTAAAGTTAATCTCGGAGGAAACACAATTTTAAAAAAATGAAAAAATTAAAATTTAAGAAATGCGTGAGTTGTTCGAATCGTCTCTGGTCTTTTTTTCACATCATTTCAAATTTTTAGGCACAAATTTAATTTTATACCCAAAAATTTGGAATAATGAAATAAGAGAGGAAGAGTTTGATAGCCTAATAATGATAAAACAGTGCCATTTTCCGACTAGATAGTCTGGAATAAATGAATGTCGCCACAGCTATTGATATGGACACCAATGAGAATGCGGAAAGAATCCATATACTTAACACTGGTATGCATATGCCTTCTTCACGACGATCATTTAATAAACTTGATTTTATCGGTTGTTCCGGTAAATCTGTAATGAAATTATGAGATTTAATTAATTTTATATTAATGATAACCAGTGAGTAATTAAAATTATGGTAATTACAATGGGTAAGATAGAAAAGTGTAAATGACTATGTGACACGTCTCATGTTTCTTTCTTTCAGCTTCTTTTTCAACCCTTACTGATTCTCTAAAATCTCTTACAAAGGACCGAATATAGCAGGGCAAAACAATTATTAAATTTTTCATTAAACAGGAAAAGGTTAACAAAGTACACACAGATAGAGCCATAGACAGACAAACACACGCAGTTTCGAATTTGAAACTTTTGTTATTTGTGAAAATCAATAAATGATATTTCTGAAGAAGTAATACTTGCCAAAATCTTCTTCGAGAATTTTCAATTGTGGTGTTGCAACATCCAAATCAACGATATTATAATCATTCTCAGGGACTGTTCGTCGACCTCTCGTTGAATTTATTTCCCGTACAATTTCTATCCCAGAAGCTGTTGTTATTGTTGATGTAGCAGTAGTAGTTACTGTTGTTGTTGTTGTTGCTGCTGCTTTTATTATCTTAGAGATTTTACTTAAAGTTCCAGTATTACTGACAGTAATATGACCAGTAGTTATGATAGATTGGTCATTTGTTGTACTCATACTTAACAAATTTCCATTCTCTCCCGAACCTGTAAGCACAAAAATTTTTAGCAAATTTTAATAATTCTCAATTTATTGTTATAATTTTTACCGATAGTTAAGAAAATAAATTTATTTCACAGATTTTGAATTCTGTAAACGAAAGACATCGAAGATTATCTTGTGAAATATGCAGTCCTACTTTTTGTCACATCTCTAATTCACACCTATATCATTCAAAAATATTCACTGAAAGCCAAAATACTACTAATTAGTTAAATGAATTTAAGAAAAACTACCACATCTTTGCTTGATTATTGCTTCAGGTAAGCTTGCAAAGAAAAGAAAATTAGTCAAAACTTAAACAAATAGGAAATCATTTGTAAAGTAAACAAAACATAAGTAACAAAAAGAAGCAATTAACCTTCTATTTCGTCACTAAACTCTATGTTACTATCATTTTGTTGTTTACGATATTCCGGAAATCTGTTTCGTTTTGGAATTTCATTCTTGAAAATATATGACGAATTTGCGATCATTTCATCAGGTAGTTTGACAACGGTAGTGAAATGATTAGTAAATGGTGAAGTGGCTGGCAAAGTTTGGAGCTCAGATGATTTCCTGGATGATGGAGAAATCAGAGTATTGGGCGGAACGGTCTGGACAATCCGGATGGTATTTGACGTAGCAAGCGGACCAGTGGTTGTATACAAAAGTTGATCGCTTTGTAATTCATCTTCAATATGTTTCGCATCTTCTTTCGAATTTGTAGTAGCAAAAATTTGATCATTACAACGTGGTGGCTGCAAATTTTCTTTTCATTTTTTTTCCTCTAAAACCAAAATGAAATAGCATATAATCAATGGCTGATAGATAAGTATAAAATATTGAATGAATAAGCAATAGGTGACAAATCAAAGTTGACAATAGTTATAAATAGCCATAAAAATGGTTAAAAATCATTGCAAAAGTTCATTTAAACTTTACAAAAATGCTTGATTTGTATGGATTGAAAAGATACAGTTAGGTATGGATTTAGCAAAATAAATCTTGTAAGAAACTTGAATTTTCAAAATTCTTTGGAGAGAGAGAGAGGAAGGAAGAGAACGAGGGAGACAGGGAGTAAGCAAGAGGGAGGGTGAGAAAAAAGTTAAAATATCTTAAATTACCGTCACATTGGTGCAGTAATCGCCTTTCTTGAAACATAATTTCACTTGACAACTGAAATAAATCGATTCTCGATCCGGCAGGTTGACAACACTTGCTCCCTGAAAAAAAAAATGTTATAGAAATTTGGGATTATCTTGGAAGCAGATAATGAGAAAAAAGGATATACTTTCAGCATCTTAAAATACAAAATACAGGATATATGACAGAGCAAAAGTGGTGATGAAATGAAAATCTAATATTCAATTAATTAATTAATTTAAAAAAGATGAGTACAAAGTAAGGTTATTCAACTAACCGCAAAGCTACGAGTCAGTTCATTAGAATATGTCAATTGTGGAATAATAAAATCATCTGTTGAACATCTGCAAGATTTATATTTATTCAATTCGAAATTTGTTAAGCTGTCAAACAAATCATATTACTTCCGGTAAATTATGTCTTAAAATGTTGAAAAAAAAGTCAAAATCGATTGAAATGCAAAATTTACTTTTAATTCAAATATCAAACGTTAATATATTTTGATAATATTTTCCCGTACAAAAAATTTAAAACAACGTTTGATAGCTTCAATGATCTTTATGAAAACTTCGATAAATTCAAATGAAACGAAAAAATTTTAAATATTAAAAGAATTGTACCCATTTTCGTCGATAACTTGGTGTTCTCCACCTTGTCCATCCAAGATATAACAGCTATGAATAAGCATTGCATAAACATCTGAGGGACAATCCCAGACATGAAATACAATGTCACCTACTCGACCATATCGTAATACCGGTCCATTCGGGGAATCCCGATGTAATGTATAGGAACATTGAGGCATTGCATGGCCTGATTCAAGCATTGATGTCGTCAAATCGCTGAAAAAGAAAAATGATTCATTAGTTCCGTCAAAAATTGCAATTTATAAATCTTACATTCAGATTTTTTACTCACAAAAAAATACCAAACAATAAGAAAAGATATATATATATATATATATATATATATATATATATATATATATATATATATA